AAACTCTGCTTGCAGCAATGATTTGTGCATCAGGCATTAGAAAGATAAATTTAAAATAAGATCCGTTGACATACGGATCTCTTCCGATTAGTTTCTCTGACTAAGCATGTGCCTCTGATTTCCCTAATTTAAATATAGGCTGTATGTAAATATAATCCATGTTCAGACTCTTCTGCTAACCCTTGCCATTCCCTATTACCTTCTCTTGTTCCTGTGCAAGGAGAAAGGCAGTATGTCAATAAAATAAATATAGGCTTCAAATAAACTTACTACATCAGTAACTTCTAACTGCTTTATATGTGAAAACGAGGTGCAGATTTGCCAGTAAGATGAAAATTAGCAAACCTATTACTACTGTGAAGGTTACTTTTTTTCTTTCCCCCTAGTCCTGGATTGTTACACAATCTCATGCCTCATGCACATAGACTGCTTATCTCCCTTCTTGGCAGTGGTGGCAAATAGGGAGACAACCCCCAGCTGCTGGTGATGTGATGGGCATAGCAGGCAAAAGAAGGTAAAACATGTGGGAGGGACTGTGAAGAAAAGGGAGGAGAAGCAATTGCTACCAGTTGAATGGAAGACATGAAGCCATGGTGAGGTACAGGGGGGGAAATGACCAGAGTTGTTGACCATCAGAAATATTAGCATGCAAAACTATATAAATGACAGCGTCTTCTAGTATAAATGCTGGTATTATATCCTATGTATGTATGTCAAAAGTATGTATGTATGATTATTGGTTGATCGGTTGGTTTGTACCACAAAGGCCTTCTACATGGCTTGATGAATCTGGACCAGAGCTGCCACAGATAGTCTTCATTATTCACCTTGAAAAAATTGAGAGGCTTGACTGGGAAAGAAAGGGAGCAAAGCAGATTAGCTGTTCCTAGGTGATGTGTGTGAGAGAAAGGAAATAAAAAATGAAGAGAAAGGAAAAGAAACAGAAAGAAAGAAAGGGAAAGGGGATGAAAAGTAGAAAAGAAAAAAAAAAACAAGGAAGGAAAGAGGGACAAGGTGTGTGAGAAAGAGGAAGAAAAGAATGCCACAAACAATGCAAAACTGGGCAGTGCCGGGTATATTAATTAGTTACATTATACACGTAAATCTAGATAAAGAAATCTTGCTCTACTTTAGAGCATGTTAAGATCCAACATTTTCTATTTCCCTATTAAAAAATGAACCGTGTACTTTTGCATTGGAGGTTTTAAAGGCATGTTAAATTTATTCACACGCTTAACCTCTTAACCACAATCCTATTTAAACGTGTGGGTTTTTTAAAAGTTCTCATTGCCCCCACTCTGAAAAATTAGTTTGCTGATAGATGAATTTGAGCTAGATTAAGGGAAGTTGTTTGCTCTGATAAATACATGATTTATACATATTTCTGTACAAACCTCATTGATACTAGGCAGTCATAGATACATATATGGTGTGTGATTTTGACCAGATCTATTAAATAAGTAACTGTTCTTTGAATAGCATTTTATGTTGTAGTTTCTTGCATTTGTGTTATCCTGTCCCCTTTTCTTGGTTCGTTACTCTGATCTTGTTCTTTCAGACAAAAATCAGTCTGTTACTATCCGCCTATAACTTTGATGTATAGTTTCCAGTTTTTACAGACATAGTTCATGGTCTCAGTATAGACTTCACACCTGAAAAAGTGATTCCATGTGTGTATTTACTGTGAAGTCCATGGTCAATGTCTTCTTTCATGGCAGAAAAAAGGGGATCTGATGATAAAAAAAGTAGTGTGAAGTCCAGTAGTCGGGAAAAACAGAGTGAAGATGCAAGCATGGACTCCAAGGAAGGCGATGCTAAGAATGAGGTCAATGGGACCAGTGAAGACATAAAATCTGAAGGTGACACTCAGTCCAATTAAAACTGATCTGATATGACCTCAGATCAGACAGAGGTAAGTGCATTATTTCAAACTTTGATTAGGGCTTTTTGTTACTGTTTAACAGTTCAGCGTAAGTATGTACAGATGAAGATGGAGCTAAATCAAGTAAGAAGAGATACTAAAGCCACTTCTGAAGGAAAACACAGTGTAGTCCTGCAAAATCTTTTGAGGTACATTGTTTTGTATCAGCTATTTTGTAGCAGGCTCATACCCCCATTAGTGTGCCTCTTGGGAACATATTTGTAATTATAGTCACCATAGAAGTTAATTATCCATTTTTTTTTCTTTTTAGGGGATTTGTTATATTTTTTAACTTTTAGACTGATTTTGTAATTAAGTCCATATTGTGTTGGTGCATCAGAAACATTTGCTTTAATACTTAATATTTGAGGCACATGTTGGACTATTTTGTTTTTATATAAACTGCTAGTATTTCTTTGTCAAGGATGTTTCTAGTTTTTTTGCTTTGCCTTGCATTCTAATGCAGTTTGTTCTGTAACTCGAGAGCCAGTAGCATTGGATTGATGGAAGTGTAGGGTTTATGAATAATTGCAGCTGACTACCATACCTCACACAGCGTTGGTGTTGTGAGCGGCCCATGAAAAGCCAAATTAAAAATCAAGGATTCAGTCAAACTAAGCAGGTACTCATGCCAGGTACTCCTTTCTCTACCCACATCCATGTTTGAATGCTGTTGCCTGTAATCTTTAAGCTTACTGTTGTGTGTTTTATTTACGAAAAAGTGAAAAGGAATCTTTGTGCATATTTTGTGAAACTTGTTAACCTGACATTAACTTGACTGGCATTTTCTTTCAACTGTGTGTAGGGATGCAGTGCTGCCCAGAATTAGATATCTTTATTAAATGCAATAAATACTACCTAATAACCGCCTTGTTACATTCAATGCATTTCAAGTCTATAAGAGGTATGTGTTTACAATTTCCTACGGCGTAGGAGAATTGCCAGGCAGCCATGGCACCCAGCATCCTAGACTGGCTGATACCAGACTTGGGAGGCAAATGAAAATATAGGCCAGTGTCAGAAACACCTAAGAATAAGTATATATAAATAGCAAAAACATATACAGTCACATTACTTAATTAAAGAGAACAAGCCCTGAAGTATAAATCATCTGTTCTTCCAAGATTTCCAAGAATCATTCCTTAAAGGAATAAACAAAAATAAAACTAGCAGAGTAATTTAATACATTTTTAGCATGTCTCCAAAGAGCTAATAGGGAATTAAAGCACAGGCTTATGCATGTTTCCTGAGGAGTATGTTCCATTATCTTTGGTGGGTCCTACTCCCACAGAAATGTGCATAGAGTTGCAATCCACAGAATAGTGGTGTTGCTCAACTTCTATTCATTTCAATGGCACTTGCATGACACTTTGTGCAAGTCCATTTGGAATAGACGAAGGCTTCCCAACAACACTGACTGGTGAATTGTAACGTTATGTTTGTCCTTTACGATTAGATACATAGGCACTTTAGGTAGAGTATATATGAGATTATTTTGTAGGAATAAATGGGCAGCAAACAATATGTAGGAGTGGCAAATGAAAGTCATCAGTGTTCCCACTATCTGACTGTCTTTCCCCAATATTTTGCATTGTAGGACAACGGGGTGACAAGTCTGCGAAGAATCCAGAAGACTGCATATTATGAAGATCTGCTTTAAAATGAGGTGAAAGAAAGCTGTAGTAGCATAGAAAAAAAATTAAAGTTCAGTTAGATTTTTTTTAATAAAAATTAATTCAGAACTGTTGTGACCTCTCAAAATACAGAAAAGTTAATAATTAAACAATCTACTGAGAATTTAAGTCCTTTTACCATTTTCCCTATAAGACTTTTAAGATGATAAACCAACATAATCTGAACACATGGCTTGCTCAGTGTTTAATTGCAAGTTTTCATTCTTGAACTTCAAAAACAAGAATAAATGTTTATTATTTGTGTGACTCAGACAAGAACAAATCCCATTTTTACAGCCAGGCTATACCTAGCTTCTTGATATATCCTAATGGAAATAAAAATATCTATGAATTTCTGTTACGCATCCAATTGTCATTGAGTGTTTAATATTAAATAGACTTCTTTCCAAATAAATGTGTTTAGCAGCATTCTTGTGTTTTTCTCCTTGCTCCCAGTCAAAATGAGGTTTCAGACTGTTCTTGACTAAGACTTAAAATAGTTATTCAGATGCCGCCCATCTAGTTTCCTAAAGCTAAAACATGATAGTGTATGATATTGCAACCATCTTAGTTCAGTATATATTTTCCAGAATTTGTGATAACAGAAAAGCACAGTACTGTCTGCGATCTTTGTATTGGCAGCATCGAAGCCAGACTTAGATAATAATCCCAAAAGCACAAATGTGAATGTTGACTTTTGAAAAATTGAACTTAATCACAGAGAAAGTTGCATGTCAATTCAAAGTACAGTAAAGATGAGTTGATTTGCTGCCATATTATTAGCTGTTTGGAAATTGTAAACATGCAAATGAAACCAGATAAAGCTTGTGCACATATGGTTCTGTGTAGAGAAAGTACTTAAGTACTGGTAACCATTTAGACTATTAATATGTGAGAGTATATGTGTGCTGTGCCAAGTTAAAGGAAAATGAAAAGCAATGCGTACACATGATACACATTTTGTGTGGTTTTCTATGTATGTGTTCAGAAACATGGGAATTGCAAGTTGGCAGTTGGGAAGCTGAATTAATTAAGGAAAGCAGTAGCCAAGTGAAACCAAGAAGAGCCAGCTCTAATTTGGCAAGAGATGGGACTACTTGAAGTTTCTTTGCTCAGTTGTGAAAAGAAAATCACTGCAGCATAGCATGTTCACTACATATAAATCATGGCATGCCTTAGTTTCAATCAGACACAGGAACTATCACAATTGCATCTAAAAATTGACTTTATTTTTTAATATTTTAAAACAGCCATTAGCCCAATACAATTAGGTAATAAAATAAAAGCAGTTTTCAAATATTATCTTTGTAAAGAGTACACAAATACATCATCTATATAATTGGTTTGCCTCATAGACTTTTTTCTTTTTATAAAACTACAAAAATAAATTTCTGAATTCATAGATATCGCTTATTACTATCATAATTACATAATATCTTCTGCTGAAGTTTAAATTGTATACAACAATAAGCTTAGTTGGGGTACGCAAGGTGGTGGCAGAAAATGGAAAATGTTTTTCTTACAAAAACTTTGTATCACAGTTAACTCAATCACATGCCTGAGATTAATGATAAAGGGAAAAATAAAGGTGCTTTTTATAGTATTGTTACTGGTACAATAATTATCAGGAAAAATGAGGATTTTCACCTTTAAAGTGTTTCGTTTTCAATGATTTCATGTTATTGGCACAAAAAGCTACTTAACATTCTACTACTATTAACAGTAGACATCTACTTGCAAAATGAAATGTAGTTAACATTGAATCTCAGGAAGATCACTTTGCTTAAAAAAATTTGGGCAAAGCTCTGTTGCCTGAGGGAAAAAGGAGGTACCTAGTTTTCTTCCACAAAATACGTTTTTTGTCTTCTGACAGGATCTCATGAAAAACTATTATAAAGTGCTTCAGGTGTTTGGATCTTTACCTCCACTCAAGTAAGATTAGTGTTTTAAAATGTATCTTAGTGGAAAATACAGGTGTATCAAAATAATCACTAGTAAAAATTAACAAGAATGTAAAGTTTTAAATGTATTTTGTTAGCTTTCAGTATGTCAGCTTTGCAGCTTTAGTGTTGTAGCAGGGTTTGTCCATTGTCGTTGGTGTCACTGCATTTCTGAATGAACTGGTGTTTTCCTCCAGTACTAGTTCCAGTTCTTGAAAATCCTGAAGCCTGGTGACATCTTTATCCTTGAATGAGAAAGCAACATCATTAAATTGGGAACAGTACTTTTAACTGTGAGAGTAATCTTATCACAGAATGCACCAGATAGAATATTGTATAGAGCTATCTATGTTCACTTCTGCTACTGGAAAATTATTTTCATGACCATGGTTTATCAAACTAGCCTACTTCACAATCTGATATGTACAAGTGTGATTACTCCCCTTCACATCACCAACCTTACTTACCTCATGCCTCCAGTGAACCAAGCAGATAATGTACTTACTTCCAAATCTTTCAAGAAAGAAAGAAAATCAAATAATAAATGTGAAAGAAGGCGATCCTCCAGGAAGTCAGCACCTCAAATCTGAATGTGCAAATTTAGTTGGCATATGAAGGGTGCCACGGGATGCATAGCTGGCTGTAGCTTCAGAACTTCACTCAACAGGAACAGCCTTCTAGTTTAAGGCAACTGAAAGCATGTATCTGCACAGGAACTAGGGACTGGATATTGTAATAAGTCCAGCCTGGCCAGTGTCTCCTTTGCTGGGAAGTTCCTCTTCAAAGGTCCACTGGTCAAAATTCTACAGATAGCCAGAGATAAAGGACTCCCAAATCAACAGAAGATGGGTCAAAAGAAAACTTTAAAAACTCATTTTACTGTCCCACCCTCACACTTTTAGTTATCCAGGTTCTCAGATTCCCTCTTTGTCCTATGCTTTATAGGACAGGGAACATAGATGATCCAGTCAAGACAGAAGCAGCAATCTAAGAATGCCTGCTCATGTTTTTAAAAAGCTCAGCTCTGCCTTAATAATTCCAAGATTGTGGTCCGGTGGATGAGCTGAGCTGTTTTTCCAATGTTCTTTACAAGCTTGAGAAGTGAATGCTTGAGAAGTTGAACAGGGCTGTAGCCTGACTTTTCATTCCTTAAAACAGGGAAAAGGTAATGATAAACTATCAGCACAAGAGGAATCAGTCTCATCCAGATGAGCCAGTGTCATCACAAGAGGAGCAAGAGGTCTCAATTTTGTTCACCCTCTTGAAAAAAAAACTTGAGAAAAACAAGAGTAACTTTGGACTTCAAGGAAGTAAGTTGTTATCTATAGATGTGAAATTTTAGCATGGAGACTTCTGGTCCATCAGGGAAGGGGGAGTTCCTGATGCCCATTGATCATACTGAAGCATATTCTGCATACCTGTTCTTCCAACTCATCATCATTATATGTGCTTCACTTATGTAAAAGATCAGAATCGGTACTATGCTGTACTCTGGCCTAGCCATAGTTCTTGATCTCTTCATCAGGATACTAATGGGTTCTATGGTTCTCCATTCCAAGGGAGTTAAACAGCCTGCTTATCCATCCTTCAGCAGCAGTGACAAACTGTGCCTTAGAACTCAAGGAACATGGTGTCATAATAATAATAATAACAACAACAACACATTCACAGATGGACACTCGAAAAAATACGGTTACAGGTAAGCAACCTATATTTTATTTATATCCCACTTTTCTCCCACAAAGGGACCCAAAGGAACTAACAATTAATACAATAAACATAAAAACATCTTAAAATAAAATGGTTTAAAAACAATATACATTAATGTGGTATCTTGTAGGGTTATATTGCACTTCACTCTAATCAATAAAAATTTTGGCATTTCCTGACAATTCAGTCTGGATTTCTTCACTGAAAGCCTCTCTAAACAGAAAGGTTTTTAAGCTGCTTTTTGAAGGAGGAAAGGAGAAAGCTGTTTTAATTTCCTTGGGGAAGATATTCCAATGGCTCGGGGCATCCACCAAGAAGGCCCTCTCCCTCATTGCTGCCAACCGCATTTGGGACAGTGGTGGGAGAGAGAGCAGGGCCTCCCCTGACCATCTTAGGAATTGGTGAGGTTGATATGAGGAGATGTGGCCAGATAAGTAAACTGGACCTGAACTGCATCTTGAATTGGGCTCAGAAACAAATTGGCAGCTAATGAAAGTGCTGTAGCAGAGGGGTTGTGTGCTCCCTGGGTCCAGCATCTAAGAGAAATCTGGCTGCAGCTCTTTGGACTACTGGAGTTTCCATGAACTCTTCAGGGCAATAGTCTAGATGGGATGTAACCGAAGCATGGACCACAGTGGCCAAATCTGGCTTTTCAAGGTACGATTTCAGCTGGTGTACAAGTTTTAATTGTTCAAAGGCTCTCCAGGCCACTGCCAAAACCTGGGCCTCCAGGTTTAGCGATGAGTCCAGGAGGATCCCCAAACTGCAGATCTGTAATTTCAGGGGGAGTGCTAACCCATCCAACACAGGTTGCCAACCTATACCCTGATTTCACTTACGACTGACCAGGAGGACTTCATATCTTGTCTGAATTCAATTTCAATTTGTCCTCATCCAGTCCATTACAACTGCCAGGCATCAGTTCAGGGTCTGGGTGGCTTCCTTGGCTTTTGGTGGGAAATTGTAGTAGAGTTGGGTGTCATTTGCAAACAGATGGCACCAAACTCCAAAACTCCGGATGATCTCTCTCAGCGGCTTCATGTAGATGCTAAACGACATGGGAAGAAGTACAGAAGCCTGTGAGACCCCACAGGACAAAGGCCATGGGGCCAAGCAGGCATCCCCCAGTACCACCTTCTGGGTCCATCCTTCCAAGAAGGACCAGAACTACTATAAAACAGTGCCACCGAGTTCCATTCTAGCCAGGCGACCCAGAAGGATACCATGGCCAATGGTATTGAAGGCTGCTGAAAGGTTCAAGTGGACAAACGGACATATTATTATTATTATTATTATTATTAAATACTCCCTCTGTCTAGTTCTCTGCATAGATCATTTACCAAGGCAACCAAACCCGTCTCAGTCCTGTGGTATCCTGTCCCAAATGCGGCTGGCGGCAACAAGGGAGAGGGCCTGATCATATCATCATTAGCCTATGGTTCCAGATCTAAATATCTCTTAAGTACTAAGCTTTACTGTGGCCAGGCTAAACTAAGCATAGGACCGCTGTTTAATGATCTTGATTTTGTATTGCCTACAAAATTTTATTTATAAAAACCCTCCAACTAGTTGTGATACGTTCAGTCCAGACTGGTGCCTCCATCGAACCATGGCAGCAACATACAAAGATTTTTAACTGGCGCTGAAGACAGAGACACAATTGTCCCAAATTATGAAGCTTATAATCAGATGAAACATTTTTGTGATGTTCTGATCTTGGAATTATCAAGGCAATCTATGCCTGACCTGGTACATCCTCAGTCATAACTGGGTGAAAATAAAAACAAGATTGCCTTGATGTGCCCCAATTTGATAATCTTGTGAACGTCTCCATTAAGAACAGTCTTCCAATCCCAGCCAGACCAGATCTTTTACAATCTATATCAATGGCCTCTCTGGTACAAAACCCACCACCTTCAAAATGACCACAGGAGATTGAATAGCTATTCCGAAAGCAAACATGGGCTTGTCTGAAAGGTTTATATCCTTCAGGCTTCCATGAGACATTCCACATATGACATAGAGCATCACCCAGAAAGCCATCCTCAGCCTTTCAGGAAGGACCCTGGATTTTTTCCAAAATGGTCCGTGAAGCAGTCTTAGACCCAGCACTCTTGCATATGTCTGGTGAAAAAAGACTGGTGGGGAGCTACTGCCATTCCTGAGAAACACTACTGTTTCAAATCTCAGAACTAGCTGATCTTTCCACGTTGACCAGAGAAATTACAAATCTGTATTCATCTGTGAAGTTTACTTTGGCTTGAGGAAAGAGACCAGCTGGGCGTACCCGGGCTGTTGTTCTTTTCTTCCTCGCACATTCCTGGCATAGGGCTCGACAGTATGAGATCCTTCTCCATCTCTTTTCCCTACAGGTTCCTGGCATCACAGGATGGGAGCAATTTTATTCTAAAGGTTTGCTAAATCCAGACCTAAAAGTTTGTTGGCAGTCTCATCTGGCAGTCTGTAGACAAAGGCCTCACCTTTTTCCCGCAAATTGGATTGTAACACAGTCTTTGAGGTAGCAGGTTTTTCCCCAGATTAGGTGTCCTTTCTTAAACAAAAAATTTCACAGGTCAGTGAAGAGTTTATGTTTCATGCAGGTAGGGCATCTTTTGCTTAAAGTTTATAGTTACAGTTTTAGAACAACTTTATAATGGATTTTGCAGGATACTGACTGTAATAAGGCCTATAACCATAAGGCAATTCAACATAATGATCTTTTCTTTTTTGCTTGAATCTTTAAACAAAATTTCTGTCAATACAAGCACGGAAGTTTCCTTTTCCCACATAAACCACTAAGATTTAATGTTTGCTCGTGCTGGCAAAGAACAAGGTGATGTGATACAAAGTTCAGTCTTATCAAGAGATATAGCAGGCCATCTGGTGGCATGATTACAGACAGATAATAAATCTCTTATTTTGCTTATAAAACCTATTATGACTTAGTTTGCTATTTGTCATGCTTGCAAATTTGAATTATCTAAAAAGGTAGTATTAAAAAGGGCAAAGTTTAGGCACAAAATATGAAAGAGAAAAACAGGAGGAATACAACAGAAGTTATTTAATAGTATCACCTGAGTTTCCAGAAGAAGTGCAAAATATCACTATTCATAACTGATGCATTTTCCATCAGAAGTAGCTTTTCGAGAGTAATACAGGCATTCCTCCACATTTGGAAGTTTAACCTTTGAGTGTGTGAGTGTATTTTTGGCTCAGATGTGTAGAGGGAAGAGGAGGGTGCATATAAACATTCCCACATTTGCTTTCTCTGATGGACTGGGAAAGAGAATGAGATGTTGCACATGCCTGTTTCCTCACTCGAGTGAGCAGGGAGAAGGAGGGAAGTATGAGAAGGAGGATACACACACTGATGTTCCCCTGGGGGAGGGGGGCAAAGGGGACATGGTGCCAGGGTAAGGGTCCTCATGTGCTATCACGCTGGGGGAGGAAGGGTATGGGATGGAGGGAGAGCATAGGGAAGGCAGTGCTGGGTTTCTAGAGCAAGTAAAATGTGTAGAAGGGAAGGGAGAGAGAGCAGGACCAGGCAGGAGAAAGGCAAGAGCAGTGGGAAAGGGCCACAGCAACTGCTCTTACACCACATCATCTGCTACCCTCTCCTCCATCATTACACTCACCACTCCCCAGTTATCCCCTTGCCTGCCCAAGTGAGCAAATAAGTGAGTGTAGGAGGAAACACATGCTGCCAAGCCCAGCCACCAATACTGAGGGGATGAAAAGGTTTGAGTTTTTCTACTTTCATAATGATTCCTGCACCTCTAATCCCCACAAAACTGGAGGATCAACTGAGGATGTTCCAGTGGGAGAGAAGATAGGCAGAATTACTCAGAGTTCTTTGATTCTTATTGAATCTTTAAAAAAAAACTACCATATTAAATATATATGAGGAGATATGTTTGCTACTTGAGAATGAAAAGGGGCCTTAAGATATATTTGTGTACTCAAGAACATCCAGATTGCCGTTTTATATGAAGAGCTGTTATGGGAGGCTAAAAACCAATTCATAAATAGAAACCAGAGCACATATATTGCACTCCATTTTTATCAACATGTCCAATGTAAATGTGTCAATTTGCAGAAAAATTCTACATTGAAATACTATCCCTTACCTTTCTTACCCAAGTATTGGGTAGCTTTCTGATCTTCTCCACTTGTTCAGGATTAATGCCCAGTTCACAGGAACTCACTCTGAGCAGGCCTTGGTACGTCAAGTCTTGTCTGTCCAGCTCAATTTCAATGAAGTCATCCTCCTTAGGATTCTGAATTCTTACTTTAAGCACCAATTCTGTATGTTTTTGGAAGAGGATATAATGTGCTTTTAAGGAAGTTAAACATCACTAAAATGCAAGGAAGCTGAAAAGACAATCACTCTGTTTAAATCCTTGATACAGGCTGAAATCTACATTGTCAGAACTATAAAAATTGAGTTTTCTCATCCTTGTTACATCTACATAAATACAAAAATGGAACTTGATCTTATATTTGATAATGTCATCCTCTTAAAAATGACATTGTCAGCCTGGCAGCATCACAGCTAAACTATTTCTGAGATGCTGCAGGGCAGGGGTCCTCAAACTAAGGCCCGGGAGCCGGATGCGGCCCTCCAAGGTCATTTGCCCGGCACTCGCTCAGGGTCAATCTAAGTCTGAAACAACTTGAAAGCACACAACAACAACAACAATCCTATCTCATCAGCCAAATGCAGGCCCACACTTCCCATTGTAATACTAATAAGTTTGTATTTGTTAAAATTGTTATTCATTTTAATTATTGTATTGCATTGAAGTGTTTTTCGCACTACAAATAAGGTATGTGCAGTGTGCATAGGAATTCATTCATGTCTTTTTCAAATTATAATCCGGCCCTCCAACAGTTTGAGGGAGTGTGACCTGGCCCTCTGTTTAAAATGTTTGTGGACCCCTGCTGCAGGGTGTTGGAAAATGTTTGGGTGCTCTCTTGGTCATGGGGAAGTAGAAATCAGACAAGTGGAGTGATCCCTCAGGATTGAGCCCCAACTGCAGGGCTTATTATTTCCCACAACCAGAAAGGTATAAACATCATTTCCCAGTACCTAATCTGCAGAACCTTAGTAACCCTTCAGTAAACGGCTAAACAAGGTCTCCGTTGAGATTATAAATAACCAAGTGGCATCTGAAAGCCTGCTTTTCAATGAGGACTAAGTAGGAAGACAACATGGGTGTTTTAGGCAATGCCTTTTTTAGTGCAGCTTTTTACTTGTACAGGAGGTGTGCTGCCTTTCTTTTCTTCACCCTTCTATGCTTTGTCCACCTGGGAAGCCTGCTGGAGAATGTACAGCAGAATAACACAATTCTTTCCTGTTGCTTTCTATCAATATTACATGAATGATCATGTAATAACATGCCAGTTCACCCCTTTGAAATCAGCAATAAGTGCCTCTGGAAAGGATCTTCAGATTTATCTATCCTGAAAAGGTGAGTTCTTATGTTTTATGCTTAACCTCTTTAAAACTGGTGATGGTAGAGCTAAATTGCTAATTTTGCAGTTACTTCAGTTCTATCAGCACAACTCCCAGTGGGATTGTTTCCCTACACTTTTATCCATCTCAATGTACATTGTAAGTTTCGGAACAGAACCCTGATATACATTAGGAACAATCTCTATTGATCAGCAAACTTAGCATTGCCCATTACAATTACTCAGGCATACAACAAAGGTATGACACAGGGTCAACATAAAAAGCAATACAAGCGAGAAAATGATGCAAGAGGTTCTGGTGCAACAAAGATCTGAGCTGTAGCGATCTGGCCCATTTGGACATAGAATCCAAATAATTGAGCTGTTGATGAAAAAGGGATTATCGCATACATGCACACATAACATACACCTAAAATATTTTTTTTGTGGTGGGGAGCAAGGACAGAGGGAAAAGTTTCATTTTGTGAGGAGACTTTAATTTGCACAATCTTGGATTGCGTACCTAGCATGCATCTACTTCCCTTATTCTGTGTTGGCTGCTCAGCCTGTCAGAGTACTGTATCTGACAAGTTCTGTTGGGGGGGGAAATCTCCTAACTGTACATTTTATAAAGCCCTGAATTTATGGTACACTTCCCCCCCAAGAAATTGGCTTTTAAGCCATGCAAGATCTCTTAATGTGGATAACTATCTGGTGGCACAGACTACTCTGCATATGATGAGTTCTCTTATTGCAGCTAAGTAGGTGGAAGACTGCCCAGGGACCATAAGTAAGTTGCTCTAAGAAGAGATGAAGAAGAGCAGGGTACAATGATGACACATATATGACAGATAAATAATTTGATTCTAATTTTATCTGTGCTAGTTATCACTTGCAGAGTAAAAACAGTCTCATGATTCATCAAAGGTGAACAAACTTAGCATAGGTTTTTGTGGGCCTATGTAGACCATATCATCAGTAATGTTTTCAAATGTTATGTGTACACAGCTGGAATTTGTATGCTCCATTCTCAACATTTGAATTCACTTGCACAACAAGTATGAGAGTTGGCACACATGTATTTCAATAGAACTTGTCTAATTATGAACAACGATCCATTTTTGCTGTTGCAAGATCAGCTCTGGGCAGATCTCACCTTTCTGTTATCAAACTAAGAAAAGTAAAGTCATTTAGTTGATACCTTCCCCAATTAACACCTGGCAAGCCTCTCACTTATCTCACATAACCACACTGTCTGGAATCATTAGTTCTGAATAAAATTTGGATGGGATGGAAGAAGAGAAGCACAGTGGCAATGAGTTGAAACTCTGACCTTACAAAATAACGCCCCTTTGAGCATAAAGTTTAAATCTAGGAGCCCTGTCTTGAAGTTCTGGCAACTGTCTGTAAAAAATAGAAAGGAATGCTTTTGAAGTTCCCTGAAGCACATTGGGACACATTCACTTCTAGGCAAGTTAAAAAGTATTATGTAATGGAAAGCAGCATTTCTTCAGTACCTTGTGCATTATATGGGAATTTCTCTGAGTGAAACAGTGGCTGTAAGGGATGTGTAGCACTTGTAAACGAGCCATTGGCTTGCTGAGGTACATGTTGTCGAGATGCAGCCAAGCTAAAAAGGACTCCGTTGTGACCTGCAGGTGAGGGATAAGCAAGGCAGTCCTGGACTGTAGGTGCTGTGAATGCTGTAGCTCCTGTGCTGATAGGAGAAAGTAAGTCCCCTTCACTGTGGTCTCCACTCTGCAAAGAGGTGGCTGTACAAACATCTTCAGCTTGAGTTGCTGATGAGCAAGGGTTGGCTTTACCCTCAGATAAGGAACTGATGACAATGCTGGTTAGCTCAGATGGTGCTGAGGCATCAAGGGCACTATCCCTTTCGTCCTTGTCTGTAAACAAGAATGGATTGGCTGGATCATTTGCACTGAATGGCCGTTTTAAGTCAGCTGCTTCTTGACTATGACATTCTTCCACTGGGGGAGAAAAAATTACACTGTTTTAATAATTTTCTTAGTGTATAATAATTATAAACAGAATTCTCTATTGCCTTACCAAGGAACATCTGGCCAAGTACATTTTTTCAAAGAATTGCAATTTTAAAAAATTGCAATTTTCAAAGAATTACAATTTCAAAAAATTGCAATATCTAAACAAATTATTATATTTTCCATTTATATTAGAAAAGTATATAAACTATATAAATTATATAAACTATGTCGAGCTTGTCCAAAGTTCAATGGAGATTGATTCACACCCTTGTGATTCACTTATCACAGTGGTTCTCAACCTTCCTTATGCCACAACCTCTAAATACAGTTCCTCGTGTTGTGGTGACCCCCAACCAGAAAATTATTTTCGTTGCTACTTCATAACTGTAATTTTGTTACTGTTATGAATCGTGATATAAATATCTTATATGCAGGATGTATTTTCATTCACTGGACCAAATTTGACACAAATATCCAATATGCCCAAATTTGAATGCTGGTGGGGTTGGGGAGTGGGGATTGATTTTGTCATTTGGGAGTTGTAGTTGCTGGGATTTATAGTTTATCTACAATCAAAGAGCATTCTGAACCCCACCAACGATAGAAATGAGCCAAACTTCCCACATAGAACTCATGACCAACAGAAAATATTTTATTTTCTGATGGTCTTTGGCAACTTCTCCAACACCCCCCTCATGACCACCCCACCCCCCCCCCAGGGTCCTGACCCCCAGGTTATCATGAGGTTTTTGAGTGTAAGAACTCTTCTATGAGGGGAAAATGTTACTGTTGTCATGTACATCATTTTTTGAATATTATACCTCCTAAAAGCTTTCTGATTTCTTTCTCTGAAGTTAAATCTGCTGCCAGCTCCCCATTAATGGTGAAAATCTCCTTATTGGCTCCGGAATCCAACAAGTAAGCAACCACTTCAGTATGGTTCTGTTTGCAAGCCCAATGCAAACATGTCCTATGTAACAGAAAAACAGATTATTAAACAACTGTCAAGTGTCTACAGTCATGTTGACAACCTACAGGAAACAGCTGCCTAATGCCTCTGAAGGATGCCCCCCCCCCCCACAGCTAACAATTATCTGTTTGCATTCAATGAGCATTGTCCAGACATTTTCTCAACATCTTGTTCTCATTTTCTATAAGGATGAAATTGAAGAGGGACTTAATATTTTAGGAGATATGAAAAAAAATACTGTATTTCACTGCAAAATAGTCACACTTTCCCTGGGGGGGGGGGTGCAATTATTATGTAATGAATAATTTTTGCAGCTGCAGGGCAGCCCTTGGCTGGGAAGCCCCACAACTCCAAGGTGTAGGCATGCGGGTGGGGAGTGCAACTATTGGGTTATTTGCTTTAAATTGGCAACAACAGCAACAACAATGTGATGGAGACTTTTACGCCATGAAATACATACATTGTTTTGTCGTGTTTGTGTCCTTTTTGGACTGGGTGACATAATGACTACAGGCCAAACCGCTCAGCTACATTATGTGGGAGATGCATGATTTCCATCATGTTAAAAAAAAGGTGAAGGGATAGTTATCAGTGCAGAGATGACATCATCTGAAAATTGAGTGAAGGAAGCAGAGTCTTATCTAGGATGGCTTTACATCTTAGGAAGGTGTGGATGAAATGGATCTAAGTAGCTGCTGTGGGGATAAACACCTCCCAGCTAATCTACACTTCCAATACAAAGAGTACTGTGCTGGGATCCAATGTTTCTCTGCTACAGCTCTTTGATGGGAATGAAATACGTTGGGCAATCACAAATGCATAAGAGGACTCTCAGCTTGTGAGGTCAATGGATTCTCTAAATTTCAGCCTCATCCAATCTTTCCAAACAGCACTTGTTTATAAATACTATGGAAATGAGATTAGGTAAAGGTAAAAGTTTCCCCTGACATTAAGTCTAGTTGTGTCCGACTCTGGGGGGTGGTGCTCATCTCATCTCATCTCCATTTCAAAGCCTAAGAGCTGGCGTTGTCCATAGACACCTTCCAGGTTAGGTGGCTGGCATGACTGCATGGAGCGCCTTTACTTTCTCTATTGATCAACTTTTATTTATTTATTTATTTGCTACATTTGTATACCGCCCCTCTCAGCCCATAGGCGACTCGAGGTGGTTCACAAGGCAACAATTCAATACCAACAACATCATAGAAACATCAATACATTAAAAAGCATTAATTAAAAACCATGACAGTAGTTTCGTCTCCTAGATAGAAAACATATCCCAATCTCATAGTCCAATTGTTCCATAATCCTATGTCTAATTACACTGCCTTTTCAAATGCCTATTTTTTGCATATATTTTTTAATTGCTAGCTTGGCAGAAGATGGCCCTAACAGCAGGAGCTCACCCCGTTCCCCAGATTCAAACTGCCAACCTTTTGGTCAGCAAGTTCAGCAGTTTAACCCACTGCACCACTGGGGGCTCCAGAAATATGATTAGTGTTAAATATATTATTACTGGGCCTGGAATACTCAACGTATGCTGGTATTAACAATTACTCTGCTGGGCAACAGGGTGACCCATGTACTGTATATTTTCCGGGTATAGCCTTGAAGGAACCAGATCCCATCCGATCTAGGATGCAAAGGATGAAATGCACAGGCCACCATTGGAAGTGCTTCTGACAGAGACTGACACACATCCCTCTACAACAGGCCTGAGCCCTCCCTTGAGCCCTCCCTCCAGGTGTTCTGGACTTCAACTCCCACAATCCCTAAGAGAGGCTGGTATATGTGGGGGTTGAAGTGCAAAACACCTGGAGGGAGGGCCCAGGTTTGCCCAGGCCTGGTCTATACTATCATGAAACAACCCAGGGGTGGGGGTGGGTGCGTGGATCCAGAGGCTGGCGGAGGAGGGGAGGGGGAGGAGCCCGCGGGCCTTACCAGCCGGTGTCTCCGTCGGGGGCGTCCAGGCAGGCTCCGCGGCCCAGCAGCGCCCGCACCTCCTCCAGCGCGCCCCGCGCCGCCGCTTCCCTCAGGCGCTGCTCCGAGGGGCCGCTCATCCTTCCTGCGGCCGGCCCCTCGGCCTCCCTCCCTGCCTGTCTGCCTGTCCTCCTGGGCCGCGGGGGACTCGTTTCGCGGTGACACACCTGGCTGGGGACTCCGTTGCGGGCGGGCGGGGCGCCTGCCAAGGCCACGGGAGGCCTCTCGCCGCCACGCAGGAGCCATGGGCCGGAGGGGCCTGGCAAGGCCTCAGTCCCGTTGCCTTGGCAACAGAGGGGCCTGTTGGGCGGGGGGAGGCGGAGGCGCCCCCCAACCCCAACCCCCCCCCCCAGTGCAAAGGCCGACAGCAACCACAGGCAAGGGCACACTTGGGCCCTCCCTCCTCCAGGTGTTTCCAGGGACTTCAACTCCCGCCATTCCTAACACCTTGGCCTCAACAACAAGCATGACAGTAGGCTGCCAAATCATTGGAATAGCCCTTGAACCTATTCGGTTTGCACACGCACCCACACTCAGATAATGCGGGATTTCCTGCCTTGATATTCTGGGATATAGGGCTGTGTGGAAGGGCTTTCAAAGGGAGGGCAGATCCAAATGTGATAGTTCCTCAGACGTTTAACACTGCCTCTACTACCTCACTCTTTTAATAAATATATATGATCTACTTTTTCATTCATATTCTGAATCCTGGAAAGGACCTCCATTTGAGGATGAGTTAGCTTGCTGAAATACATTTAATTTCAATATGATCTATAGTGCAGCCCTTGCCACACTTACGCAACATAAAGCTCACTCATTTCAATCACATTTCTGTTCAAAATGCTTCTGACTGCATTCCTAAGCAGCTTAGTTGCGCACAGGACTACGGCTTTGCAATTACATCCATGTTTATTTTGAAGTCGCGCTGAGTTTGATGATCCCTACTAAGTCTGCATAAGATTGCAGTGCTAAGCCAGGAAGGCACAAAGACATCAGTGTTTGAGAAAAGGGTGGCTATTAACTTTAATAAGGTTGCACATTTCAAAATAGAGAGTCATTTGAAATAATTGGCATTGGGCGAGCCTACGCGGCTTTTTAAAAAAGTAAACCCCCCAAGAAGCATATGCGACAATTACCAAATCCTTTGCTCGCATTCAAAATCAAACTAAAAGACTGTATTATTTTCAAAATGTGGATAAAAAGTCCTGAAGTGCAGAAAATATCAAAGCACACATGATTATTATTTTAAGCTAATTGGTTTCCTCCCAATTCAAAAGAAACTTCAGGAGGCAATATTTGACAAAACAGCAGAAGGAAGGAGGAGTTCCTAATCTTGATTTGCCCCCTAAGTCTGTTATTTTAAAAAAATGCGGCTCTTCATTGTGTCATTGGTCAGGGCAACGTTCCACACAGCCCTATATCTCAGAATACCAAGGCAGAAAATCCACAATATCTGCTTTGAACTGGGTTATCTGAGTCCACACTCAGACAATGTGGGATTTCATGTCTTGATATTCTGGGATATAGGGCTGTGTGGAAGGGTCCCCAGTTTGAAGCCAATATTGTGGATTATCTGCCTTGATATTCTGGATTAGATGGCTGTGTGGAAGGACCCTTGGATGTGTGAAGTGTGAGGATGTGTACTTTCAGGGTTTTTTTTTAAAAAAACAACAACAACAAATGCTTCTTTTATGAAGCTCAGGAAATAAGGGTGATAAGACAGAAGGTCCTTCCAGCTCTCCTTTCAACCTCTGCACTACAAACATCTACAAAGCTACAGGGCCTGGGAGTGGGGAAACACTGAAACATACGTTATAATTACAACAAGCAAGGAAAGGAAAATAATGTTTCTTCTGGACTGAGGCATTTCCCATCATTGGCTAGAAAAAAATGTTTGGGTGAGGGTGTGGATGCTGCGGCTGAAATAGGCTGGCAATCTGTATTGCAGGTAGAGATCTGAAACCAAGCACTGCAGATCCATACCTGCTGTGTATGTACTACATCTTGGCTCTATTGCCATGACAGTAAATGCTCCCCAAACCAACTTTACCACGCAGAAGCCATACCAAGAGATGGAGAGGTCTTTTCAGTTGGCGAAGGATGTGCAGGAGCATGACATTTCAAACCACTTCACCAAGTGATGCTGCAAGTTAGAAGCAGAACCCTTACCACAAAGTCCACTCTTGCAGTCTTCCTCACTGGCAAGAGAGGAATGGAAACACTATTCTTCTGGGCCTGATTGCCAGCTGAACAGAACTCTCAGTTCTGCCAACACCAGGTCACATAGGCAATATGTGTGTGCCTATGCAGGCAATGTAGAAGATGTGCTTCAATTATTATTATTATTATTATTATTATTATTATTATTCCGCCCTATCTCCCCAAGGGGACTCTGGGCGGATTCCAACAAACAAACAAGGCAAACATTCAATGCCTGAGTACAATAACATATGTAGACACAATATCCCAAAATAACTCCACATGTGAAAATATCAACTTCTTCTTCTTCTTCTTCTTCTTCTTCTTCTTCTTCTTCTTCTTCTTCTTCTTCTTCTTCTTCTTCACTTGGTTATAACATACTTTTCTTATTTGTTTATATAGGCCACTGTGACCTATCTCAGAAAAATATGCTTGGTGATATTTTTTAGTGGAGTCCATTATGACAGTATCTTCATTAGGCAAAAACGTGCAATATTCACCACTTCATTCAGTGGAACTGCACAACATTCCCTCAAACCACTAGAGGTCACAATAGATCAGTAAAATAAAGAGCCACAACATTGCTGAAATTTTACAGGGATGTGTGTGCATTTGCATATATGTGTGTGTGTGATAAATTATACATATAGTACTATTTTGGGAGAATGAACATTTCAAAACAATTCACAAATATAACTCTGATTGTATGACCTATTGTAAAAAGTATGTTATGTGTGTTTAAATGATGAGTTTAATCTTTATATGTGTGTGTGTGGCTGTGTGTGTGTGTATTTATAATAATATAGTAGTATTGGGGAGGGGATGAACATTTCAAAACAGTTCACACAGCTTAACTATGATTATAGGACCTGGTGTAAAATGTGTGTTTAATTATTTTAAATTATCAGTTTAATCATTTAAAGAGATCTGTAATCAAGTCAACTTCAGCCTATGGTTATGACTGCCCAAATAAAAGGATTCTCCTTCCTCTTCTCAGTCTCTGCAGCATCAAGGATAATTGAGAGGCTCATGGAGAATGTAGGGGGAAAGCCAAATTGCTCCCCATCTGATCCTGCTGAATCCCCATGCTATTGTCTGCCACTGATGCTCTGCTTTCCCATGCTACAGTTCTCTAACATGGTCCACTCGACTTAAAAGCTAGAATCCAAACTACATTTCAAAACAAACATATATCACACAAACCTAGAGTTGAAATCATACAGTTGGAAAAGACCACAAAGACCATCCAGTACAAACCCCTGCCATGCAAGAGATCAAATTCTCAATAGCAATCTCCAAAGTATGCCTGGTCTCCATGTCAGCTCATTTTCTAGATACGGTTTACCCAAAATTCAGTAAATAAACATACCAACCTTGAATTAGTGATAGAAACATTGAACCTCCCACGTTGACTGTCCAGTTTTTCCCAATTTAAACTGAAGGCATCAATAATTTAACAAGTGCTATTGAAGGAATGCAAAACAATAGCATTTCGTTGAAGCCGACCTTGAGAAAAACATTCTGGGTCCCGAACATCAATTTTGATTAAGATAGGATTATTGCATAACATATCACAAAGTCTAATGCTGCAACAAGTTTTGTCTAAATCAAAATCTGACAAGTTCTGTGAATGTTTCTTGTACTGGTATATTGTTGTTCTTTTTATCTGCTTTGTGCCACCATTCCTGCAACTACAAAAAGGTTGCAATATGAGCCAAGATAGCCTGGATGGAAAATGTTGTTGACTTAATTCAGGATGACCCAGCTTCACTTACCCATTTCAGTTATTGATTTCACAAGCTGTTGTGAGGATGAAAAGCTATGTACTGTGCCCAAAGCATTAGCACTGTGTTTGTTATGACTTTCATACTTAAAAAAACTACAACATAAAGCACTGTCCTCCCCACCCCCATCAACAAAATTTAGAGGGCATTTTGGGGAGTGGGGTATAACAGGTCATTTGTTAATTTGCTGTTCAACCGGAAGTTTCAGAACTTCTGGTTGAACAGAAGTTCTGGGTTCCTCAACCAAGGTTCCACAAAGGGTCATGAGAGGGTTCATGAGAGATTGTGAAGTATTAAAAAAAACTTTTTAATGTAGCTGTACATATAATAATTATTTAAAGGATGGAGGTAACTCAGAATACAGGAGAGGGATATTGCTAGGACCAATACTAGGAACAATACTTCTGAAAATGTGGGATAATTCACTGAGGGGACACAAATGAATTGTAGCCTTTGTGACCAAAATGGCCTCCTATTGACACATCCTATACATGAATTCATGCTATAAGTGAATGGTTAAAAATGGATGGGTTGCGAGTTTTCCGGGCTGTAGGGCCATGTTCCAGAAGCTTTCTCTCCTGACTTTTTGCCCGTATGTATGGCAGGCATCCTCAGCCCGGAAAACTCACAACAACCCAGTGATTCCAGTCATGAAAGCCTTCGACATTCCATTAAAAATGGATGGTTAAACCATTCTATGGCTTTCACACATTGAAAATGGATTATCTACCTTGATATTCTGGGTTATATGACTGTGTGAAAGGGAAATCACCAAATCTGAAAGGTCCCATGTGAGGTCACAGAAAACAGTCCCTGGTGATGTTCTGAAGGTGATGTGAAAAGGAACGGACCCCAGTACATTAAGCATCAACTATGGTTGCTCAAAATATTCTGTTCAGATAACATGAAGTCTAAGAAATGAGGAAAATTCAAACAGAAAAACCCCTTAGAATAGGAATTCACGTTATTCTAATGGGCATTTCTGTAAAATAGCACAAAAACATAAGTGGGAGTGAAGAATTATGCAATGCTGTATGTATCCATCTTTATCAGCTTTTTTTGGTCCCTTTGTCCAAGGATTACACTCTGCAGAAATATAACAGAGCTTGCCTATCAGGCATACCATTCAACTGCCAGTGAAGTCAGCTTTTGTAGAGGTAGGACAAGATGGATAGATGGTATCCTTGGAATGATTGGCTTGACTTTGAAAGAACTGGGGGTAGCCAAAGCTGACAGGGAGCTCTGGCATGGGCTGGTCCATGAGGTCACAAAGAGTTGGCAGTGACTGAACGAATAAATAACAACAACGCGTTTCCTGGTTTCATCTGTGAAAACTTGGGG